AAAAAAAAAAAAAGAAATTGAAAAGAAAAGTTAACATGCAAACTGAGACTGAGCTAAATGTATGTTACAGCTCTGTAAGCTCTCTCTCTAATTATCCAGGACATACGGAGAAGGCTAGAAATTGGCATTTTATACAAAATATAAGTTGTAACTAAAGATCAAATACACAATTGTGTGATAGACCCCAAGCATTTAAACCTGAAAGGAAACTTCTAGGTACTTATGCTAATGGATGAAGTCAGCAGCACAGACACTCAAAAAAATAATTTTGATCAGACTCTCTCTCTTACACACACACACTGTTATTGTTTCTGGGTAGTACAGTACTCCACAAATGATAGACAATTGATTTTTGTTGACTGACTAACCCTCCTTTTTCCAACTAGAGAATAAAAGATGTGAGTGAGTAGATGAGTGGGCAATCTGTTCACAGAAAATCAAGAGTCAATTGTCTATGGAGTCTACAAAATCTATCCTTTTTGAAAGTGATTATTTCCCACAGTGACTTCTCACCATAGGAAAAGGTCAGCACATTGGGTGGATGCTGAAGACATGCAGAGATTGTGCAGGCAGCCATTGCCTCCAATTCACTGCAGAATTATTTCTGCTCAGCTTAATGCTAGAAAGGGAAACAGAGCTGTCGAAAAGAAGGACTGTCAAGGTGAAAGGGAGACATGGATCCTGGGCTACTACCTGGAAAATGCAGGAGATACATTCAACAAGGAGAGCAAGTAGTGGCATTTAGGGTAGTTGTTTGCTTGTTTTTTAATGTAGATAAGCTTCACCATTTCCATGCCATGTTATTAAATGTGGTCTGGTGGCCCCATCCATGGGTGGTCACAAAGCTGGGCACTGAAAGAGCCCATTGAGGTCCTCAGAGGCCCAGAATGAATTATAAGCCTTGTATCTGGTTGAAGAGAGGGACTTTTATGTGCCCAAACTAAGAGACAACCATGAAAGTAGCTCTTGTGGACTCTATTTACAGGCAAAGTTATGAGGCAGTAAAGCCAGCTCCTTTGAAGGAGCTTTGATATCCCTCAGTCTCTCGCACTTTGTGGCCTGGGTTGAACCTGGCTTAGTCACAGGCACACGTATGTGTCCCTGAAGCTCACTCTTCTAGGTGGTTTGTTTCAATCAAGGGAGCTTCCTGGTGAAGTGTGTTGATACCTGATTCCAACTATTGGCTGAAAAAGTATCAGTGCTGCAGTGAGGAGTGTTTTACAGGCATCTAAAGGCAGCAGAAAATTGAACTTGCACATCTGAGCACAAATGTATGTTGGACATTAAGAGAGGAAATTGTTAAGCAATTTCTCACATCTTTAATTATGTGCCAATTGCATTGACATGAAAGTTGGGTGGCAGTGCCACCCAACAGAACTTAGTCTTTAATTTGCAGTGTAATAAGGACAGAATTATTCCTGAGTGTGACTAAGTATAATGCCTGAATAATAATTTGGAGAACTGCTTAGAAAAAGAAGCCATTTTATTTGAAGGAATTAGCCTAGGGAGGGAGCCTTGAGAATTAGAAAACGTGGATTCTCTTGCTAGCTTTATCATGGACACTACACTTAAAATTAGTATCGTGTTTCTCAAAAAGTATTTCTTCTCCAAATAAAATGCAATCCCTCTGCTAACATAGAAAGTCTCCATGTGATTCTGGCAGCGCTGTTTATGTTCTCCATGCCTTGAGTAGCCTACCTACCTGCACAACAGGGACAGCTGTGCCTGCCTATCTGGGACTCTGGCAGGCAGAGGCCCAAATCAGGAAGTCATATGGAGGTGATGAGTGTTCAAGTATAAGATACGAGTATTAGGGCAGCACCTGTGGGTCAGGGAGTAGGCGCCGGCCCAATATACTGAGGGTGGTGGGTTTGAATCCAGCCCCGACCAAACTGCAATAACAACAACAACAACAAAAAAATAGCCAGGCATTGTGGCGAGTGCCTGTAGTCCCAGCTACTTGGGAGGCTGAGGCAAGAGAATTGCCTCAGCCCAGGAGTGGAGGTTGCTGTGAGCTGTGATGCTACAGCACTCTACCCGAGGGTGACAAAGTAAAACTCTGTCTCTAAAAATAAATGAATAAATAAATAAATAAATGAACATTAATTCCCAGCAAGTACTCCATGCTGACCTTGCTTTCATGGCTTCTCATATTCCAGATATCCCACTCAACCCTGTCGCTTTGGAAAACTCCTCTTGCTTTTGCCAGCTTTACGTTCTATTAGCCCATCAACCATAGAAGAAGTGTTTTTCAAAAAAACCATCGGCAACGTGCCAATTACAAGACTGCTTTCAGATATGTACAAATCCAGCGATATCTAAGCTCTCAAAGTACCCGCTTTTCAGGATGGGACAGTGTCAGATGAACTTCTACCCATGGAGAGCAAGCCTCAACTAACAAACCCTTCAGGAAACACACACCTGGGAATGTGTAGCCTTCAGGAAGAAATGCCAATTGAACGAAACATTTCAGTAGCTACGACCTGCTGCCTCAACCAGGGTAGGGCGGCTGGGAAGGAAAGAGGTGCAACAGGACCACCTGCACACACGACTCACTGCTGCCGCGCCCTGGGAGGGGGCGAATTGGGGGTTGCCACAGGCTGTGCCATTCTGCCTCTTCCCCGGAAGATCAGGCTCAACTGTCAAAAGCCGAAACCCATGTAGTGCTTTCTTTTCCTTTTTTGCATATGAAGTTGGGTAACCAAATGCAGCCCTGTGTATAACATCATACTGCGGCCTTCAGAACTATGTTATGTTGAAGCATTTATTTTGAAAATAATGGCTAGGTTTTAAAGCAAAAGTATTATCAAAAGTGTCCCTCCTATTGTAATACATGATTAAGTGGCCTTCAGAACTGAGTTGATAAGTGAAAAGTAGCTTATGACATGCGATTTGCTTTCTCTCTCTCTCTCTTTCTTTTCTTTCTCCTTCTTTTGTTCTTTCTTTCTCCTTTTTCTTCTTTTTTAATACCATAGGCCAGGCAACCTTGTCAAAGGAATTGGTGGACGAAAGTGAGATTCTCACCAGGACTTCAGACTGCATAACATCTCAAACTAGAAGAGCTTTACTAAAAGACAAAATAAAACACAAGTCAAGGGAGGATGAATAAAAACAGCAAAACCAAATAAAGGGGAGATGAGTGATGGCGTGAGGGAGATTGCTGTCCCATTAACATAGTGCTGAAACCAAAGGCAATGGGGGTCCAAACTCATGGTTCAGAGGGTCACACCAGACAGTCACCGAACACAGGCACAATGCCGGAAGGAACTTCAAGGAGAGAATGCTCAATGGTTTCTTGGTTTGATCCATTGCTAACAGCCTGAGACTCTTCAATGCCTTTCAGAAAACTCTGGTTTCTAGTAAAGCCTTGAATGCACACGCACACACACACACACACACACACACACACACATATCGTCCCACACTATAAGCTGCTCCTTTGGTATGACTCTATACTTATGAAAATGTAGAAACAAACGTTTTTAAATAGCTGCTGTCCTTTTCACCTTTTGATTTATTAGGTACTAGCACTGAGAAAAAAAAAAAATTCAGCACTTGGACTATCATAGGATGAGTAAAACTTTTCTTGTACAAAGTGAATTAACTGATTTGTGAAGTTAAAAGGTTGTACTCATTGTATTTACAAAGAATAAAAATATATTGAATCTAAATGAACTCGGCCTGCTTTCTCAGCCTCCTTCCCACCAGGAACAAGGTGGCGGCAGCAGCTGCTGTTCAGACTGAAGCCCAGAGCCCTCCAGCACACAGCCTGCAGAACCGAACTACAAAGGCAATTTCCTTTTTACAGTGAATTCCATTTGTAAAATGATGAATAAAGAAATAAAACATAAGATTCTGTTCTCTACAGCTCTCAAATGTAATTGCATCTGTTAGAAAAATTGCTGTGTGAGGAAGAAAGAGGCCGATTAACAGAGTCTTCATTCCTTCCTCTGTTTCTAACTCTCCTGACAACATTTCAGTCTTGACCAGACACTTGAAATCATTTAATGATCAAAAAGATAAAGTGTGAAGATCTGTTGGGAGGATGTGGAATGAGCAGCAGAAAGGTCATCCAGATGTTCCCACCAAATCCTAGGGCACTGGCCACATAACCAGAGGCCAGTGGTGGAAATCAGAGGTGCCCAAGGCCACAGGCACTATGGGCTCTTTCTGGGTGGCAGCTTGAGCAAGACATGCGGGATAAAATGACCTTGCAATTGTTTGGGTGAAAGTTCAATCAGCCATGTATTTCTTGTCTACTGATTCCACAATGAAGGCGAACTTGGTCTTAAAGAAAGGCAAAGAACTTAAAGATGTGTGCAAGAATGCTCCCTATAACATTGTTCATATTTAACGATTTAAATGTCCATCAACAGAGAATCGGTACACTGCGGTAGACACAGACAACAGGTAAAGTGAATGGCTGGAGCCAACGCTTCATCGTGAGCAAATCTGAAATACAGATTGCTCTGTATTTGTTGAGTGGGTGGGAGGGAAAGAAGTGAATTGCAGAAGAAACCTACAGCTTGGTATCATTTACAGACTAAAGAACAATTTGAAACATTTGAAACAGGCATGCTATAAACACTAATTGCATGATCCTGGCCACCTCCAGGAATAGTTGGGATAGATGAAGGGTACTAAGACGATCCTCAAATATTTCTATAATGGTTTATTCCACAAGAAAGAAAAGAACGTCAAACAAATATTAGATTAATGACAAGATTTGGTAAAACCGGGTAATGAGTCCCAGGCCGTTCATTCATATATTAGTCAAGTTTTGCTTCAATAAAACTCAATAACAACCCCAACAGTTGAGAGCAACCAACTTTTATTTCTTGCTCACAGGACTAGCAGACTCCTGTGGCTCTGCAGGATGTGGCCGGGCTCAGCCAGACCTGGCTCCAGGCTC